GAATTTGCCTAGGTAGACATTTTTTTTTATTCGCCCTTGTACGGTTTTGTTCCAAAAACGTTGTAGGAACTTTTCCTTTATTTCCCCGTAGCTCTCAAATTCGTTAGAGTCTTACCAACTCGCGGCAGCTCCTGTAAGGCTTTTTGGGAATTACGCCACTTTCGGTCGCTTTTTCACGCGCCGCTGTGTTCTCAAAACGCTTTAAAAACGTTACTGTATTCATCCCCGTTTCTTTCCCGCTGAATTTCAAATCCTGGAAGGGATTGGCCATCCACCCTCCTTGCGGTATTCTAAACGGAAACTGTAAGTATGGCATTATTTGGTGGCTGTTTGGATCATGACTAGCGCCATTTTGCTGATCCCCACTCGTTTTGTTGTTTATTTCTTTGCTAGGGACATTTTCAGTTACCCTCGCACTTTCGATTTTTTCATTATCCCGTCGCTTTGTCTCGACCATTTTATCAAGCCTACCCGCCATCAGGGATACCTGACTTTAAAGTTTAATAATCAAATCTTGCATCTTCCGGACAGAGTATTGTTCATTTGACTTGATTGGATCGGATTCCGCAACTTTCAGGGATTCACTAATCTCACTCAGAGTCGTCCTGGGAATCGTCCCAGTTCTTTTGCTGGTCATGCTTCTAGTTCCCGGACCGGTTACGGTCTCAGAATACTTTTCCAGAAGATTTGCTGACTTAATTTTAGATTTAGGCCCAGTCTAGTACGGATCACCTCACTGTCTGACTTGGCTTCCTCTACTCTCCTTTCTAGTTCAGGAGGTGTCTTAGGAGTAGCCATTGTGGGTAAGTATGCGATCTCTTATTCGAATTTTTTAATCCTTATTTTATTTTCAGGTTATCGACGGATCGAATTTATTTTGGACGCAGCTAAGTATTTTTAGGTTATAGTACTTTAAACAAATCAGGAAAATTTTTTAAGGCTCAATAAAAACAAAAATTTATTAAGATTTCCTTTTTGTTTCTCTTTATTTATTCAAAACCCTTTTCCAACCTTTCTTGTCCTTGAAATGTTATTTATTGTACTGCTAAACACCGTAAGTATAATAAAAATTAATAGCGATTTTGACTGGTCTGCACCGACTGCACACTTCGGGTGTCGGTGCAACTTATGTGTTCGTCTGGTCGAATGGTGCAGTTCCTTGCTGGTGCCGCGTATTCGTCTGAGCTCAGTACACAGCATAGGTGCATATTGGGTGTACACAAAGTGGCTCTCACAAATTAGTTGGAGCCAGTTCGTACAATCGATCACTATCGATAATATTGGTGATAATGTAGATAAGAAACCACAACTTCTGTGGATGAAACTGTCATGATGAGTGATTTGTTTATGCTGACAGAATTATTGACATCATCATCGTCAAGTGATAAAGATGAATTAATATATCTAGATTTAGTACAACGTAAAGAAAACAGAGCGAAAGTAAAATATTACATTGAAGAGGTGGTGCAAAAAATGTCCAATAAAACAGTGAGTTTCGCAGATTAATTAGGTTTACTATTAATGTGAATTTTATTATACAGAAAATGTTTATTTACAGTTTCAAAGTCATTTCCGAATGTCACGGAAAACGTGCTACAAAATAACTGAAAAATTCGAAAGATCAACATTTTATCCAAGTGACAGGTCTCATGGTAGAACACCAATTTCATCAGCAGAAAAACATGTGTTATTGTTTTTATGGTNAGTATAAATAATGATAGTAATATAATAAGACAAAGGAAAATGAATTAAAGAACGGTAATACCCATAGATATTGATTTTTCTTGTAACTTGTGAGTTCCAAAGCTCGAAACACTGACAAATAAACCTTTTTTGAAATATTTTTTTTATGGAAATTACAATTAGTTAGTTTAATTAATTATTTTGTAGACTCAAAAATGTTTAAAAATGCTTCTGTGTCAGTTTTTTGAGCTTCGGAAATCTCGAGTCACAGAAAAGAATCTTAATCATGAATAAAGACTTTTATTTTATTTTCCTACATAAGCTGATTGTTTATTTAATAAAAAAAAGTCACATCTTAGAAATTAAATTTTATTAATAAACAACTCTCTTTTCTAGCGGTGCTCTTTCTGATATTGTTTCTATTGATATTTCCATATATAGTATGTAGCTTACGGAAATTGTTTTATTTCCTTAAAATTTACGATTATTTCTTTTTATTTTCAAGGTTCGCAGGAAACAAATGCTCACTTCGAGAACTAGGAGATCGGCTTGATGTAAGCATCTCAACTTGCGAATGTGTGCTGCAAAAAGTGATGGATTTTCTGTACAATATATCTAAGGAAATAATTACATTCCCACTTACTTTAGAAGAGAAATGTGCTGTTGCCGAAAATTTTAAAAATGTATAATATTTTGTTTTGAATCGATTGTCTATATAGCTGTACTATTTTTTATAACATCTATTATTTAATTATTAAGGCTAAAATTTTCTTTTTTGTGTTTAAGAAAGTTAGTTTTTTTCTATTTTGCTTTTTCTTAAAGTTTACAGTTTTAAAAATATTTTCTCCAAATATTTCGATATTCGCAAACTTGGCTGAGTTATAGAGGAAGTTTGAAATCGTGAACGTACAAAAATATTGATATTTTTTATGTATATCTCTAAAGTTTAATATAAAAAACTTAGTTAAAACCTAGGTCAAAATATGTCCAAAAAAAGAAAAGTGTAGTTTTAACGATATATATCGATATCATTAAAAAAAGTGTTATACATCTAAAAAAACAAATATCTATTTGTTTTAGATTTTTGGTTTTGATGGAGTAATTGGATGTATTGATGGTTCCGTCACCCGTCGGTCCACCGCGTCTATTTGCGAACTTATTGCTTCCAATGACCGCACTACCTGTTGTAGCATTGCGTCAGCGGGGTTGTAACCGTG